AAGAAGGGAGTGTGGAAGATAGTAATGACAGCGACAATTTTTTTGCTAGCATCCAAAGACCAGCCTTTTTGGTCAAGGGAGAACCCAACTTTGATGCTGGGCCACCAGAAGATGGGTTAGAGTTTCTTAGGCGAGTTAGGTATATGTTGCTTATTCATCTTAGACTTCTCTTAACAGTGTTTGCTAGTTTCCCTTCCCACACCTTTTTGTTCCAATTTCCAATACTATTTAGTTAAGTGAGAAGGGTGAATGACATAAAACTTTAGTATGGTCGAGAGCGAAGGCTTACAAATGTCAGAGCTGGTCTTTGGATGCTAGCAACATATACTTGACTCGCTTGGGAAATTCCTCTGTGAGCTTTTATCCTCCTTTGAAAACGGTGATAAAAAAAACTCGCATGCAGCAGATACCGAAAAATATCACGCTAATTGTCAAGAACAACCTCCACAACTATCCTTTTTGTTAAGAGCAAGGATAAATAAGTCACAGCACCAGCCTTTATGGACTTTGTTCGATGGGTTAATTGCATGTAAATAGATCACGTGATTTTTATTAGTTTAGTATTGAAAATGGAATAGTAATAGGGCACATTGCAAAAACAAGTCATTTAGTCAAGTGATTATCATGTAGTAGTGCGGCTAGTGGGTGATTAATTAATACTAATCTTGATCGGTTTTTGTCACATTTTGTCCCTAACTTCCTTTCCATCACTTCCTACTCACGAGCTCGAAGTTACTACAAGATTGGGATTTTCTTTTTTCCCTCTATGTAGATTTAGCTACATGATCAAATATATACTCGAATTCAATGCTTGACCTAAGCTAACTCGATACGCTAATAATCGGGTTGAGCCAAATCAAGTAGACTACGTGGTGCTGTATGTGGAATCATGCTAAACTGCAAAATCGATTGAATTCGAGCTATGTTGACTTAAGAATTGAACAGCGTGCTTCTATGGTGGAAATAATTTAATAGACCAGATCCATGTGACGGGCAGGAGCGCGGTTCACAGTCTGGTCTGTACATGGTCAACTTGAGAAGAGAAATAAACTATACACACACACACAAATACATACATATGCTTCAAATTATCTAAAGATCTGGGACATAATGCCATGTCCATGGACTTTTAATTTTGATCTTTATACCATTCGTTTCATTTTTGCTTTCTTTCATTCATTTCCTGTCGGGGCATATCTTATTATGTGTTTTTTCTTGCTATTAATTGTTTTATGCACGACTAAGTCTTTCCATAAGTTAACTTGAGGGAAAAATAATTCACGTCTCATCTTATGGTTAAAGTTTCGTTATATTTCCGTCGGTGTCTAAACTTAATCTGTTTCGTCTCTTTTTGGTCCAATTTATCCAGAAAAAAAAAGCCTTGCTTTCGTGTTCCTAACTAATTTTTGTTTCTAGGTTGTTAAGCGTCATTCAAAATTGACATGCACTACATTTTTGGTAATTAGAAGACATATACATACATAACCTCCAAGGTCGGCGTTGTTGATTGGGTGCGTCGGGAGATTTGCAGCTCAGGAACTAGAGATCACATGTTCAGGTCTGTACTACATGCACAATGCCCTAGGTCACGACTACGTACACTGAGCAAATGCCTAAATTTAATCGGTTTATAGGGTTTTCTATGGTGCTTCATGAGCCTCTAAGTAACTGGATCTCTACGCTTGTTTTCCTATATTATAAAAAGAAAAAGGAAAAAAACAATGCACACAAAACACATATGAAGAAGCTTGTTGAGTCGCGAATAGGGATGGGATGAGCACAAGGCATAGGGTGCTGGCAATCCATGCCCTTTCACAAGGCACCGCCCCAAATACAGCAAAATTTCCAAGCAAAATTACCCTAGGTCATTAGGCATGCTCGGGCCAGTTCAATCCCGCCTCGCGAATATGCCCCACTTATGTATTTTTACAAGAAAAATATATATTTTTCATTTATTTCACAATGTGTCTGTGATTAAAAAAACCTGATAAAAATATTACTAGTAATAATAATATTATTAAAAAAAAAAAAGAGAGAGAGACTCTCGAGAGTAACCTTATTTTCTCACAAGCCTTGCTTTTTATAGGAGATGCAAGCTTGGAAAACTCTCTGGGTAAGTGATGCGAGGCAATTATTCTCCATGTAATCCTCCTTCGCATTATCTCACATCCATTGTTTTGAGGAAAATTATTCAAAAAGTCATAAACTTATTATATTTTTGCCAATTCAATCCTAATTATCGGTAATCGCTGTATGTGATACAGTCGGCGCTGACATGAATAATTTTTAAATAATATTAATATTTTAATGTTACGTCGAAGTTTGAACGAGCTATATCTTCACATATTTAAAGACTAAATTGCACCCATTATGTGCTAATTCAAAGGCCAATTGGAATTCGACCAAAAAAAAACAAAAAGATCATCATCCTCATCATCAACCAACCATCACACTGACCAAAAGATCGGACGGGGAAGAGATCCTCCATTAAACGTGGGACCCACCCCCACAACATGATAAACGCCCCAACTTGACAACTTGCAAGTGGGACCCACCCACACCCCGCGCCGATCGCACCGCGGGCAAAGATTCGCACCACTTCGTTACCCGGGAAGATTGAGAAGCCCGGATTTGGGCGGAGCATAAAACTGTCGAAATTAGTCCTAATCTTAATCTATATTTGAATGGTCGATTATTAATAAATAGATTTAGAATCGTATAATATAAAATAATATTAATGTTTATTTACATCTAACTCACCTTTATAACTCTCTCGCCTCTATTTAATCTTTATGAATTTTCTAAGATGAGTTAAATATAAAATTAGTTTAGCAATATATATTGGGAGGGATATTGATTGGGCATGGATCGAGTCGGGTATTTGTCATTAGATCTGTATTACGCGAAAATGGGCCAAAAAACTTTAAATAGATCAAACCATTTTCGAGCCGAATTAATCCCTTTGTCGGGTCAAGTAGCACGTAGTACGCAAATCGCGCGGCTGCACACAATAGCTCCTCCGGCGGTGGGCCACCGCTTGGAAATAGAAACCGGTTTTTGTAGCGTTTGGGGGATTTGTGGGGTGTGAGGGCCCACCAAGGCTGCATGCATGCATTTAGTGGTGGTGGTGGTGTTGGTGTTGGTGGGGGGAGCCCTCCTCGCTCTGACCGCAACTTGGGGCATCGATATCGACGGCTGCACGTTTCGTGGTCTTCCGATGTCGTTGCCTTTGGAAATTTGACTAGCTCTTCCTTTTATTTTATTTTTATTTACTTTTTTTCTCGACTGAAATTGACTAGTTCATTCGGCCTATTATTATTGACATCGATGTCGAATCCACGACGTCGGTTCGACACGAAATAAAAATAAAAAATCTCGCAACGAACACAAAGGTGTCTCGTCCCTCGAGAAGTTATTAGCTCGAAAAGGCCTCATATTAACAGAAAGATTTACTCGAGTATTTACGGTACTATATAGTAAAATATTACCAGAAAAATCGATAGAATCGTGACGGGTCTTTCGTGAAACTTGCAAACAAGCGCTCTCGGGGCGGTTGTAAGGGAACACAACAACTTTTAGCGAAAAAAAAAACAACTTCTGACTGTTGTCGAAACCCAAGTCAACCGAGGCTTCTCAAGATCGTTGACTTTGAAACTCGCGTGGGGCTTCTACGTGCGCAGACCAAAATCCTACCACTTCCTCGTTGCTTCCCCACACACGGTGAAAAAATAAAATGAAATTAAAAAAAAAACTAAAAAAAAATTTGACCGTTGCTGGATTAAATTTTTCATTACAACGGAGAGACGTCAAAGGAATACTTTTTCCTCCGTCACGTGGATTTCGGAAACGACCAAATCAAGATCGTCGTTTTAGGTTTTGTATCTGGCACGCCTCTCTTTAACTTGGCTTAGCTCATTCATGACGTCAAAAAAAAATGATAGTATTCACTCGCAAAATAAAAAAGGAAAAGTAAGGATTAAATTAGTGAGACGAAGGAGATTGATAAGGACCTCGACGATGGTGGTGTTCCGACTTTGTTAGTGTACATCCTTTGAATGATGCTGTCATCACGAACTCCCTCGCTAACACGACAAGATCACATACATAGAGTTTAATTAGCACAACCGAAGGATAAACATCTTACGGTATATACTTATATTTATAATTATTAGGGCGTATCCCGTGGAATTGATTTTTCAAATCTATTTTATCCTAGCGAATGATTTTCAATTGGCGCTAGTCTAATTAAAACTTAAGTGGATCTTGAGATGAATTTGTTATATGGAGCAAGAGATGCTACTACGTAGTTCTTCGCTAGGGGAGATAATGGAAAGAGAGCTTAACTCCATCTAGTTGTAACCACGTTCACTAGAAAACTTTAAGCTAATGAGCTAATTAAGGTTTATAAACCGTTTCATACCATATCAAATATATGATGTTGGACTTTAACAATCTCCACCTAGACATGCTCGTGCGATCTATGTTTCCTTTTGCACCATCTTAACATGAAGCTCCACATCGTTGCTATGTATTTTGGCAGCCATCGCAGCAAACTCGAGACCACTTTCCTTCAGCTACATCTTGAAATCAATGGTGATGGCAATTTTCACCGGATATTGTGTTGATCATGAGATATGCAACAAAGACTCGATACATTCACCTAAGAATATCATTTACAAACAACCCATGTCCAAACTTTTCAAAGTATCTGATTAGATCCACACTTGACAATAAGTTATGACTATAATATATTAACTGCTCCTCGCTACACTAGATATTTTATGCAGAACTTTTTTAACATCTCTAACACGTGCACCTTAAAAGACACGAGGTGAAGAAAACCACCGAGAATGAATATATATATTAAAACGGGTTATTAAGTGACGTGACAAATTGGAAGTGGCTATTTAAATTAGTAGGGTCATTTATGTATGCACTCCACACGAGTCGCCAATCAACAAAAAAAATTGCAGAGATTTCGGTCCAACTTGCACAAAGAATTGAAGCCGAAAAAAGATATGATTTTTTTTTCTTTTCATTGCATCAAAGGAAAGCATCTGTCTGTACATTCTCTCGTCTGTGATAACCGAATCAATATTCACAGTCACCAAAAGAAGAGGGGAAAAAAGAATCAATTGAATCAGAACCAAAAATTAAAATAATCTCCCAGGACTCTGCTCTCGCTGCTCTGTTCTAGCGAAGCTGACTCTGCTTTCGGAACTGGAACGATTCCGATCATCTCACAGTCACCCAAACATCGGAATGTTCCCAATTAGGCCTCTCCTGGCTCGCCAACTCGCCAATCCGATCGATCACCGATGAAGAATCTGCCGATATCTCCAACGCAGCGAGATCTCTAATGAACAGCGAGTCAGAATCCGTCTCAGACGAGGGCGAAAGTGAGCCCGATTCCCAACTCCTTCTTGAACATTGCACCGAAACCCAGTCTTGGAAATCGAAGTGGCACCTCGGAGAGAAATCCGCGAATTCGACTCCGCAATCTCTTACAACCTCCTCGTCATTGACGCAGTCGAGGGCAAGGAAGGGGTGCTTCAAGAGCATACGGGCTGTCCACCTCTTCTTCGGGTTCTTCGCGAAGCACTTCCTCAAGAAGTCCTTCCCCTGCTCGGACAGTCCCTCGGGCATCTCCGGGATTTCGTCTCCGACCCCAATTCTGATCATGAGGGCGTACGCGTTTGACTCGGTCCGCGACCCCCATGCCGGCCTCCCCGTCGCCATCTCCACCACCGCGCACCCGAGCGCCCAGACATCCGAGGCCGGCTCGTACTCGTTGCGGTTCACCGACTCGGGCGCCATGTACATGGGCGTGCCCCGCCACTCGAACCCGCCCTGCTTCCCGCCCTTCGCCAACCGCTCGCCAGCTCTCTTCGCGAGGCCGAAATCGGCGATCTTGACTTCTTCGGCACCGTTGGGGAATACGAGGATGTTCTGGAGCTTGACGTCGCAGTGGACGAACCCTTTGGAGTGGACGAACTCCAGGCCCTCCAGGATCGACCTCGTGTGGCGTCTGATGTCGGCCTCCGAGAGGGGCTTCCCCCTGGACTTCAGGCTGTCGGCGAGGCTGCCGCCGGCGGCGTACTCGAGGAGGACGTTGTAGAGCTCCTGGCCGCCGCGCTCGGCGGTGAGCGAATCGCCAAAGCAGCGGACGATCCGGGGGAAGTCGCCGAGTTCGCTGAGGACCTGCCTCTCGTGCCTGAGGGAGGAAGAGAGGGCGGCGTCGCAGGACTTGACGGCCATCAACGGAGGGTGGTCGGAGGGGCAGGTTTTGGCGGGCGCCGCGAGGTGGATGGTGGCGAATCCGCCGTGGCCAATCTCTTTGCCACGGACCCAATCCATGGGGTGTGTTTCGCGAATCTTGAGAGGGTTTTGAGAGGTTTGAACGCGCTCTTATGCTATCTGTCTGTCAGCGTGGGTTTTTGCTTTGCTTTGCTTTGCTTGGCGAGGAAGAATGAAACAGAGGAGACACTGGTACGCGGTTATATACACTGACCAGGAAAGGAGAAGATATTATTTTTATTATTATTTATTTGTATTATTTTTATTCCCGGACGAGTTTCCTTATATAGCGTACCTCGGTGCTACGTGATTGGTTGCGAATTGTAAATGTATAATATTTTAACCGGAGATAATTATTCACTTGCGTCCAACAATTTCTTACTTATAATTACTTCGTGTTAGATGTTAATTAGTGAACGATCAAATTTAATTGTACACGTCATGAAACAACCGGAGATGATTGTGATCAAATTACTTGACAGGTACTTGCGATTTGGGAAGGGTTGTGTGGTCCCACTGCTTTGTGCTCATTCGCAAGCAAAGTTAGGTTAGATGGATGAGTAGGAGGAGGAGGACGAAAGCTGCGACTCACCGGTTCTAATTGATTTGTTGTGTTTTATTCAAGGGGGAAAATAGATCGGATGCGAGTTTTCTATGACTATTCTCAAATGACGAGAAGAAAGCCCCACATTAGGTAAATTAAATATCCATTAAATTTGACGGACTAGGTAATGTACAATCGGAATTTAAAGCCCGCGATCAGAATGCGCAGCGACTACTACTGATTTTGAGCAAGTTAGTGAATCCCGCACCACTGGATGCGAGTCTGAGTAAAACCGAAGTGATCCTTGCGATGGGTACACAAGCCGGACCTACGCCACTCCCAAATCGGAAACTGACTTTGAACCGGCCATCAATTCTAAATCGGTTGCAGTTGCAACCGGTTCGACTCCTAGCTCCAATCTTTCGAAACAAAAACCAAAACCTAAGGGTCGGTTCCAAAAAGTTCTAAAGCCAATTATCCCTAAAAAAATCACAAAAGAAAATGCAAATTAGAATAATCTTTTGCTTGTTCTTAATTTCCACGCCGCACGAGCATATTGAAGAATTGCGGTTGCTGGATGGGGCCCCATACGTTTGGTATTGAAACTCTTGTTCTCATGCAGAGCGTGCCCACGCGAGGCTGCAAAAGCTTGTGTTTTTGGGTAGAACAAAAACGTGACTTTTCCTTCCTCGTACTGACCATCCTTCCGAACATCAACGTTCCCTCTGTGCGCACACACCGGCACGAGACATGGGTTGCTCTTTGCTGACCCGTTTCATTGTCCCTTGCATTGACCACGACCCGATTTCATTCGGGTCGTCTCTCAAATCTTGCTCTACCGGTCATTGCTGACCTCATTTCGGTCTTTAACTTCATTTGAACAAGGACACTTCCGATTTCGATGCCTTGGCCCTTTTTCAGGGACCGTCTTTCTGGCTGATCGAATCGATAAAGTCACGGGAATTTAGTCGCCGGCAAAAGTTACTCCTAACAACAATTTACCTTATTAGAATTACGTCGAAGGAGTACGATTTAAAAATATGACGTGCAAAAAAGTTAGATACGAGATGTCGCCTTAACTTCACTGTTCCGGATTAGTCCCGATGGTTAGCTTATAAAGATTCAAAAAGCTATGAAAAGAAGAGGGTGAGTTGAATGGAAGAGCTGAGGAGATCTAAAACACGTGGCTTTCAAGGTTTATGGCTAATGACGACTACTTTGCACCTTATTCCAATTAATTTTTTTATTTATTTTATATAGATGGACGCGCGGACTATGATTATTCAGCTGCTCATGTCCAAAAAATTAGGAATAGTAAGTGACCAGCGAGGTTGATGAGAAAGCACTTTTTCTTAGGAGTGAACAACAGGTGGCAGATACACCTCCCTCGACCAAACAAACGGGATAGATAGAGATATACTCAAACCGATTCCTTGGAATTACCCACGTTTTCCTAAACATGAAATTTCCCCTTCTTTTTAGAAAAAAAGGTAACTATATTCGGAGCATATGCTCGTGGAAAATGTCAAAGACACCAAACTCAAAAATGACTTGAACAACTCGCACGTGCGATTGATTGCCTCTCGAATGCGAACTTTCAACGAGGGCCACAGAGCAGGTTCAACAACAAGAGGAAAACGTGATGAACCGATTGACTGATTTCTTTTCTTATTTTCCAATCGATTAACTTAATTTTATGTATTTCTAGGCATGTACATGCGATCTTTGGATAAAGGGCACGGTCAAAGGGGGGGTTTAGTGCATTCACGCATCATCATTTGTCATATCTTTGACCAACCATTCTCCCCCATTATCATCTGAATTACATCCTAATTATTAATTGGATAAATCAATTAACTGGATGACATCGGAAAGGAATGGCTTAATCCATTTTTTTAATGGTTAGTGTCGGGTAGCCAGGAATCTTCGTGGCTTGGTTCGGTTCAATTGCAAGCCGATCGACCACCCCCAAAATTTGTGGATTTGGAAAATCTTTTTCAATAAATTAAAATAGAATAAACCCAATAAAGTTTCTATCTCGAACCAATTTCACAGATTAGCTTGGCTTCGATTTGAATATTTTATTTAAAAACCAAAAAGAAAATTTGATGTTTAATTTGTCGGTTCTTCCTTTTAACCCAGTATTCTTAAATCTGGAGGAAAAAAAAAACATCTCCAGGAAAATATTAGCCATAGTCTAAAAGCAAGGGGATACCGATAATATCACGAATATAATGAGCTCGTCGGTTTGGCTTGATTTGACTTGAAATTTTGGTAAAATCAATACCAAGCTAAATTCAATAATTTCTCCGTCCTTCATATCGAAAGCGGATGACGTAAAAAACTTGGCTTTCGCCAATCGACATTTGATTTCATTTGAACACGATATAAACTTGGATTGCCCCCTATTTTTCAAATGATTGTCCAAGTGAATATGACCACGTTGTACGTATGTTAACAGTTTCCTCGTATTTTCAGCGGTCCCCAGTCTTAGGAAAAGTCAAAACAAGTGTTCATGTGGGTCAAGTGGATTGAGCTGATCATCCTAGTGGAATTAAGACAACTAGTAGATCACCCAATTGGAGGAAAAGATCTTTACACCGTATTGTTTTGTTTCCGTGTGCAAGTGGAACTGGAAAACCTAACATCTGCCATTTTAATCTGGATTAGAACGAAGGACCTCAAAAAAAAAAAAAAAAAAAAAGCATATCGCTTTACAGTCCCCGACTAAATCCATTGAACCTCCAATACATTAATCTTAATCCATTGTACTTGAGCATGCTCGAGCGTTCCTTAATCTTTTCTTGAATATCGTTCATGAGTTAACTTAAAATACTAATAAAGCCATCAAAAGCCACAGCTTCTCTCGTGATGTGCGCAATCGGTTACATAGGATTTCCTATCAAATCCACTACTGCTAGAAATTTGATTGCTAATTAAGATTTAACGTGATGTAATGAAAATTATAAACTCCACCTGCCCCTTCGGAAGCCCTCCGCTGGTGGCTGTCAAGTCCTGCGATGTGGCCCTCTCTTCCTCCCTCGGGCACGAGAGCCAAGTCATTGGTAAACTCGGCGAGTGCCCGCAGATCGTCCGCCCTGCTTATAGAATTATCACCGATATAATTCTCAAACTTGTAAATAATGCAATCAAAACCTTCAACTCAAGTTTTAATTTAAGGCCGATTCTGGCTAGTTGAAGCTGGCATATTTGTCACTGTCAACCAAAAATACGATCTGAAAAACGAATGATATGGATGCCACCTTGAACAAACAATTTGCGACGACACAAATGATATTGCAAGGTTCGATCAAGCAAATTTTCAGATGGCTCTTCATCCCTCGGCGGCACGGGTTGACGCAATAGAAGTGGAGTGCGCACTTTGTTGGGTCAAAGATACACGAGTAGGAATTAGCGAATAGAATCTTTTCCCGAGAAGCCATGCAAAAAGACCGCAACTTGGCTACCTCGCCGTCAAAGTGAAGGGGGCTCCGCTGTCCCGCGCGAGCCTCGAGCAGCCCCTCTTTTTTTTTAGGGATAAGCGCATTAAAAGTCCTAAAAGTTATCACAAAAGTGCAATTGAGTCCTAAAACTTTTAAAAAAAGTGCAATCAAGTACTAAAACTTGTCATGAAAGTGCAATCAAGTCCTAAAACTTGCAAAAAGTGCAATCGAGTCCTAAAACTTGTTGAGAAAGTGCAATTGAATCATAAAACTTTTAAAAAATGTAATCAACAGAAGAACTTAATTGGACTAACTTGATAAGTTTTAGGACTTGATTGCACTTTTTAAAAATTTTAGGACTCAATTGCACTTTTTGACAAGTTTTAGGACTTAATTGTATTTTTTGAAAGTTTTAAGATTCAATTACATTTTAATGATAAGTTTTAGGACTTAGGGCTTTCAATGCATTTATCTTTTTTTATTTTAACCAATATTTACGCAGCAACGAAAGGCCAAAAGCAAAGCAAAGAAACCAACGGTCAGAGAAGAGAACGGCGCTGCTGCATCATCGTCCTCGTCATCAATCCATGACAAAAACAAAAAAAACAGGTCCGAAGCTGAAGCAAAAGATCCTCCACAGTCCACACAAACGCGGGACCTACTCCATGATTATGGTAATGCCCCACTTCCCACTTGGGAACCGCAGCGGGGACCCCCACCGCCGAAACTCGCGGTCCACATGCGACGGTAGCCGAACTTCGCACCAATGGCGCCGCGGGCAAAGCTTCACGCCACTCCGAACAGCGCCGACCTGCATCGGCACGTCACGCATCGTGCAGATACATGCACAGCGCCTGCGCCCAATAACTCCTCCGGCGGGTGGGCCACCGAGGCTGCATGCATGCATGCGGGGAGTGCGGCGAGGCCTCGGGCTGACCGCATTCGGTGGCATCCATATCGACTGCTGCACGTTTAGTGGACTTCCCATTTCGTTGCCTTTGGGAATTGACTGGTCCCTTCATTTGGCCTACTATCAGAACCGATGCTGAATCCATCGCATCAGTTCGATACGAAAATAAAAAAATCTCGAGTTCGTGACCGAATAAAAGGCGTCTCGGTTGGTTCCTCGAAAAGCAGTTAACCCGAAAATGCGTCATGTTAACAAAAAAAGAAAAAAAAGATTACTCGGGTTTTTAAAGTACTGATCGTAAATATCATCGGAAAAATCGATACGTCGAGAATCGTAATGGGTCTTTAGGAAATATGCTAACGTGTGTTCTCGGGGCAGTTTAAAGGAAACACGGCAACTTTTGACTATTGCCGACACCCAAGTCAACCTTGGTTTCTCGAGATCGTGGAATTTAAAAGGTCACGAGGGCTTCTACGTGCGCAGACCCAATCCCACCATTTCTTCGTTGCTTCCCCCACACAAACATAAAATACAAATTATATATAAAAAAAATTTGACTTTCCTTTTTTGACGGCGTGCTGGATTAAATTTTTCATTCCGACGAGTTTGTATGGCTCGAGAGAAACGTCAAAGGAAATGCCTTTTCCCCCTCGCCGTCCCATGGGTTTCGGAAAGGACCAAATCAAGGTTGTCGTTTAGTTTTTGCGTCTGGTCCGCCTCTTTTCACTTGCGTAGCTCATCCATGACGTCAAAAATAATTGTGCACTCGAAATTCAAACAAAACAACGGGTGAGGATTTTCTAGTGAGATGAATTAGATTGATAAGGACATCGACGATGGTCATTTTTCGACTTTGTTAGTGTACATTCTTTGGAAATATACTACTATCATAAAGAAGACAAGATTGCACACATGTATCTTTTTTATATTTAACGTCGTGTTTTTATTTGTATTTATTGAGGCGTATCACATGGAATTGATTTGTAAATCTATTTCATCCTTGTGGGTATGAAAAACAAGGTGCAACTGATGCTAGTCTAATCGAAACTTCTATGCTACTTTAGTGAATCTTGAGATTTGTTTGTGGTAGAAAGTAAGAGATGCTACTACGTAGTCCTTTGCCAACGGACATCGCCGAAAGAGAGTTTAAGTGCGAGCCCATCCGCAATATCCAATTGAAATCGCTATAACTAAAATCTTGTGTTAATAAACTAACTAAAATATACAAATTGCTCCATATCGTATCGAATTTATTATGTTGGACTTCTCCAACACTCTTCTCCCTGGCACTTTAACAATCTCCTCCTGGACACGCTTCTCTGATCCATGTTGCCTTCCGCACCATCTTATTTTAACATGAAGCTCCCCACTATTGCTGTGTATTACAGCATGCCGTCATGGCAAACTTGAGGCCGCTTTGCTCTAGTCACCTCTTTTAAATCAACTATAATGGTCATTTTCCATCCTGAAACTGTGTTGACCATGAGATGTGCAGTAGATACTAGATACATTCTCTTAAAAGAGATTACCAAGAGAAAACTCGAGTCCAAACTCTTCAACATCCAATTAGATCTATTTTCACTCAAAACTTTAAGATAATAAATATGGGCTAACTATGATATATTAATTGCTCTACACTACGCTAGATTTTTTATATTCGACTTTTTTAAACACTATTAACACATGCACTTTAAGACACAAGGTGAAGAAAACCTCTAAGAAAATGCAAGAGATACTAAAACATATATTAAAACGGGTTTACTAAGTGATGTGACAAATTTTAATTGGTTATTTAAATTAGTAGATCATTTATGAATCCGGGAGGAATTTGCCATAGGACTTATAGTTTACCAATTTTGCATTGGGAAAATTATCCAAAAAGCTTTAAATCTATTATGTGGCGATCAATTCAGTCATAAACTATTTCATTTGGCCAATTTATGTCCTAAACATTTTTACAATTTATCAATGTAGTCATTCTAGTCAATTTTAGCTGGAAATCGCTGACGTGGACATTGGCCGTCTTGCATGGCATGACAGGCATGATGTGGACTATTTTTGCAATTTTTTGTATTTTCTAAATTTTTTTCTTTTCTTTCTTTTCTTTTTTTTTTTCTTTTTCCTTCGTTGGTTGCTAGCCATCATCAAGGCTCGGCAACCGGTGAAGGAAGAAGGAAGAAAAAGAAAAGAAATAAAAGAAAAAATGTAGAAGTTTTTAAAAGTATATAAAAATTGTCAATTTCAGCGCTGGACATGCCACGTAAGATGGCCGATGCTGACTGGACTATCACGTTAGCGATTTCCAACCATGGCCTATATTGAAAATCGTCAAAAGGTTTAGAAGTAAATTGATCAAATTGAAAAATTTGGAACTGAATTGGCCGCCGTATAGGTCTTTTTCGACAATTTTTCCCTAATATGACTCATCAGCAGGGAATTCATAATGCTAGAGTACACTGAAATGGAGATATTTCCTTTTAAAGACGATAAATAATGCAGGAGTAAATATAAAAAGCACAAATCTCATTTTTGGTTTTGATCAAAATTCAATTAGTAAGTAATCCTTAATTTGGCAAATTATCATGATTTTGTTGACAAATTAAAAAAAGGAGTCGTCTTCGTAAAATCGTAACTGCTTCACCGCAATCCATCAACTGTTTCCGAGCAAAAACAGCCACTCCCCACATGTGAGAGTCGCCAATCAACTAAATCTCAAACAGAAGTTGCAGAGCATTCACAGTCCAACTTACTTGCACAACTAATTTGCAGCCGCAAAAAAAGATATGAATTTTCCGTTTCAATTGCATCAAAGAAAAGAATCTGTCTTTACATCTCTCGTCTGCAATAACAGACTCAATATCCACAGTCGTAAAAAAAAAAACGAATAATCAGAACCCTCGGATTAACCCAAAAAAAAAAGATCATCCAAGACTCTGCTCTGTTCTAGCTAAGCTGACTCTGCTTTCCGAATTGGACGAATTCTGATCATCGAACGGTTACCCAACCCCCGGAATGTTCCCAATTAGGCCTCTCGTGGCTCGCCAACTCGCCAATCCGATCGATCGCCGATGAAGAATCCGCCGAGATCTCCAACGCAGCGAGCTTCCCAGTGAACGGCGGATCAGAATCCGTCTCCGACGAGGGCGAAAGCGAGCCCGATTCCCAGCTCCTTCTTGAACATTGCACTGAAACCCAGTCTTGGAAATCGAAGTGGCACCTCGGAGAGGAATCCTCGAATTCGACTCCGCAATCTCTTACAACGTCCTCGTCATCGTTGACGCAGTCGAGGGCAAGGAAGGGGTGCTTCAAGAGCATACGGGCCGTCCACCTCTTCTTCGGGTTCTTTGCGAAGCACTTCATCAAGAAGTCCTTCCCCTGCTCGGACAGTCCCTCGGGCATCTCTGGGATTGCGTCTCCGACCCCGATTCTGATCATGAGGGCGTAGGCGTTCGACTCGGCCCGCGACCCCCACGCCGACCTCCCCGTCGCCATCTCCACCACCGCGCATCCGAGCGCCCAGACGTCCGAGGCCGGCTCGTACTCGTTGCGGTTCACCGACTCGGGCGCCATGTACATGGGCGTGCCCCGCCACTCGAACCCGCCCTGTTTCCCGCCCTTCGTCAACCGCTCGCCAGCTCTCTTTGCAAGGCCGAAATCGGCGATCTTGACTTCTTCGGCACCGTTGGGGAATACGAGGATGTTCTGGAGCTTGACGTCGCAGTGGACGAACCCTTTGGAGTGGACGAACTCCAGGCCCTCCAGGATCGACCTCGTGTGGCGTCTGATCTCGGCCTCCGAGAGGGGCTTCCCCCTGGACTTCAGGCTGTCGGCGAGGCTGCCGCCGGCGGCGTACTCGAGGAGGACGTTGTAGAGCTCCTGGCCGCCGCGCTCGGCGGTGAGCGAATCGCCAAAGCAGCGGACGATCCGGGGGCAGTCGCCGAGTTCGCTGAGGACCTGCCTCTCGTGCCTGAGGGAGGAAGACAGGGCGGCGTCGCAGGACTTGACGGCCATCAACGGAGGGCTGTCGGGGGGGCAGGTTTTGGCGGGCGCCGCGAGGTGGACGGTGGCGAAGCCGCCGTGGCCAATCTCTTCGCCTCGGACCCAATCCATGTCGTGTGTTTCGCTAATCTTGAGAGGGTTTTGAGAGAAGCTCTTGGAGAGAGAGAGAGGGAGTGCGCGCGCTCTTTTGCTCTTTTCTGTCTGTGCGTGGGTTTTGGCTTTGCTTGGTGAGGAAGAATGAAACAGAGGAGACGCAGGAACGCGGTTATATACTGACGAGGAAAGGAGGAGATCTTTTCTATCTCATTCTTGTTTTATTATTTATTTGTTTGTTTTTTTCTTTTTAATATCTTTTATTATATGTGATAGGAGGAAGATGAGGGGCGTTCTTGTTATTTCCTCGGGGTTGGATTGAAATGGGCACGTGAAAGATAAGATTGTCGAGGTGGGAAAGGGAAAGGAAGACCCGCACGAGTTTGTTCTTTTTTTTTGTCTTTTTTTTGGCTAAAAACCGCACGAGTTTACTCATTTAGCTGAAATAGCGCGCCCCGGTTCTGATCCTATAATTTGGAAAAAAGAAGGAAAATAAAAAAATATATATATATTAAAGAAAAACCAAACGTGTTTGGTGTGAATTGTGAGAGAGAAAAGGAATTTTCACTTTTTATTACTTGAATATAATAAGTGGACGTGGATTGGATCGTGAATCCAATTGGTGAACGAGTGTCCTCGTACAAAAAGTTATTGATTACACGTATTACGAGTAGAGATTTCACGTTGGGTAATTTTATTAATATTTTACAATAATATTTTCATGAAATTCGAGATAATACAAAGCATCACTCGAGTATACCCATGTTTTTAAAAATGCACTGGATACAATACCTTTGTTTGGCAACGCGGAGAATTTGGTAAGGATCGGATTGATCAATCCGACCACCTTGCTGAACATGTTTGAGCTTATCTTAGGCAGTTACTATAGAGATGCAATGCTTAGCAGAGAAGTAGTGACGAAAAGGATTAAGATCCTTGATTAGGATTAGCTTACTGTGGGTTCAAAGGATTAAGTCAGGGACTGTAAAGCAATTTGCCTTTTTTTTGGGGGTCCTTCGTTCTGATCCAGATAAAAATAGGAGATGTTAGGTTTCCATCTCCACTTGCACATGGAAACAAAATAAAAATAGAAAATATATATATATATATATACCCCAATTGGGTGACCTTCTTGAAGAGATCTATTTGAATCTTACAAGTGTCTAATTCCACTAGGCATGATCAACTCAATCCATTTGACCCACATGGACACTTGTTTTGACCTTTCCTGATACTAGGAGCGTTGAACGTATGGGAACACTATTACTATACCACGTGACTAATGTCCACTTGGACAATAATTTAGAAATAGGGGCAATTCAATTTTATGTTGTGTGAAGTCAACATGTGAAAGCCGGGTTTTTTAGTTTCTCTGATTCCGACATGAAAGACGGCGAACCTGCTGAATTTAGATTGGCATTGATTTTAACAAATCTTCATGTCGAATCAAACCGAACCGATGAACTTACTATATTTACAATATATTCGGTGTCCCTTTGCTTCTAGACTATGGCTAATAATTTTTTGGGATACGGTTTTTTTTTTCCAGATTTAGGAATGCTTGGTCGAAAGATGGAACCGGCAAATTAAACATTAAATTTTATTTTAAATTTTTAAATAGAATATTTGAATCGAGACCAAGCTAGTTTGTGAAATTGGTTCGAGTTAGAAACTTTGTTGGGTTTATTTTAATTTTTTATTGAAAGAGCTTTTCCAAATCCACATATTTTGGGGGTGGTTGATCGGTTTTCAATTGACCTAAGCCATGAAGATTCCTGGCTAGCCCGACACTGACCATTTAAAAAAAAAAAAAGGATTAAGCCATTCTTTTACCATGTCGTTCACTTAATTAATTTATCCGACCAATAATTAGGATGGAATTCAGATGATAGTGGGTGAGAATGGTTGGTCAAAGACACAATAATAATAATGTGTGTGAATGCACTGAGACCCCCCTTTGACCGTGCCATTTATCGAAAGATCATATGTACATACCTAAAAATACAAATAAACTAATCAATTGGAAAATAAGAAAAAAATCAGTCAATAGGTTCATCACGTTTTCCTCTTGTTACTGAACCTGCTTTGTCGCCCTCTTTGGAAGTTTGTATTCGAGAGGCAATCGCTCGCACGTCTTGGACGTTCCAGTTATTTTGAGTTCGGTGTCTTTGACATTTTCCACGAGCATATGCTCCGAATTTTGTTTTCTTTTCTAAAAAAAAGGGAAAACTCATGTTTTTACTTGACATATTCATGGGAAGATTGTTGTTCTTCTTGTTTCAAAAGAAAGATTTCATTCCTTTATCAGATTAATACTCTAGAGGTACATAAAAGTCTTTCAAGCCTAGCAAATCCCAAATAACGGCGGAACAACACACTCTGCAGCTAGAAGCTAAAAAAACACTCTCGTTCCTCAAGAACAAATCTACCATCGTAAACGTTCGACGGCCATCACTAGATTCAGTGAGGAGCACACGCCGAGATCTCTCACTCTATTTACAATAGTTTGCGGTGCGCGTCTAAGTTCAATGTTCTCATTATCATCGCCATACAGAGACACCAATATTAATATGTTGAAAGAACACAGATCAAATACCTATAACAAACTCCTGAATCTATATCTAGATCCAATTCAAGAGAATAAAGTCTTCAGGTCTAGACCTAAATCTAAATTGAGAGAGGAGAGTGGCCTAATCTCGGGGAGGTTGTGGAGCCACGTCACAAACATCCTCCTCGGTGGCCGTTTACCTGGACGAATGGCCGAATTAGTCTCCACATTCACTCAAAATCAATTGCAAAAATTTATTCACACTCACAAACTCTCAAAACAGATTGAGAGAGAAAATAAAAGACAATCAAAGCAAAGAAAAAGAAAATCAAAAACTAAGTAAGCTCTCAGCTTCGGTAAGCTGAGAGTCTATAGGAGAACTTCAAAGGAGGGAAGAGTTTTTGGGAGATGAGAGGATTTAACGACAAAAAGAGAAAAGAATCATGGGAATTGTTCAAAAAATCATAAATCTATTGCACTTTTGTCAATTGAGTCATAAACTTTTTGACAATTTGTTAATTGAGACCATCCGGTCATCTTACCCGATACTGCTGGTGCTGACGTAGATAATTTTTAATATTTTTTGCGAATACTTTTATTCATTTTTTATTTTTCTTTTATTTTCCCTTTTTTGTTTTCTTCTGTTTTCCTTTTCTCTTCTTTTCTTATTCTTCTTTCTTTTTCCCTCCACTGGGTCTCGCCATCGGCCTCAGGTGAGGTATGCCCGGGCCTGGGCTGGCGAGGGCAACCCTCGTTTGGGCTAGCGTGGTTCAAAAAAAATTTTTTTTTTGGTCGAAAGTGTGGTTCAAAATTGACGTTTAGGAAAACGTGAATAATTCCAAGAAATCGACCAAGTATCTCTCTCGTTTGGTCGAGGAAGGTGTATCTGCCATTTGTTTCACTCCTAAGAAAGGGAAGTTTCATCAAACTCAATAGTCACTCACTATTCCTATATTTTGGGACACGAGCACTTGAATAGTGCAGGTGTCCATTACTTAATAGAAATTAAAAAAAAAAATCGGAAATAAGATATGCCATGTAGTTGTCATTAGCCATTAACCTTCAAAGCCACGTGTTTTGAGTCCTCCTATTTTAATTTCCTTAGCCCTTCTGTAAGAGAACTACGCAGACTCCCATCGCAGAGTTAGGAGCACCAATCGAGGGTCGTAATTCATTTTAAAAAGAGAGATTCGTATTCTATGAGAGTACAGTTCTCGTCGGACCAAATGTTTGATTCTGTGACGTTTAGTAAGACCGATGATATGCCTCAGGCATCAAAAACTTTGTGTTGCAGATTTGTAGTCGACATATAGTAAAACTAATCTGACCCATGCAAAAATTTTAATCGGATAAGAGCTTTAAGGGCGAGGCCGGTATGTTCCAAAGTTTTTCACTGGCCATATTTGTCATGTCTTTTTAGATCTCGAAAGCTAACCATCACTTGAGAATCTGAATGTAACATCTCCGATCTAACTTTCACCTACCGAGTTAAGGTCCACTTCATTGACATAACTGTAATTAGGTAAATTTCTATCATTCGGAGTAATTATCGCCGGCGACTTAGTTAGGTCAGCAATGACGTTGGGTCATGGTCAATGCAAGGGAAAATGTGAAGGGTCAACGGAGAGCAACCCACGTTTCGTGTCGATGTGTGCGAACAGAGGTAACGTTAATGTTCGGACGGATGGTCAATTCAAGGAAGAGAAAGTCGCGTTTTCGTTCTGCCCAAAAACACAAGATTTTTTGCTGTCACACGTTGGGAAGCTCTGCATGAGAATAGAATGTCAATACCAAACGTTTGGGGTCCCAACCAGCAACCGCAATTCTTCAAAAAGCTCGTGTGTGGTGTGGAAATCAAGAACAAGAAAAAGATATTCCAATTTGCATTCTTTTAACTAATTTCGTTTGTGATTTTTTAAGGGGTTAGGTTCCGGTTTTGTTTCGAAAGAATAGAATGTCAATACCAAACGTTTTGTTTTGTTTTGTCTCGTGCGGCACATTCCAAGCGTGCATTACCTAGTCCATGAAATCTAATAGATATTTAATAGACCCGAGAAATAATCTACCTAATGGAGGGGCTTTCTTCTCATCGTTTGAAAATATTCATATAGAAAACTCACTTCCGATAATGGATATTTCATAGACCCGAGAAATAATCTACCTAATGAAGGGACTTTCTTCTCATCGTTTGAAAATATTCATATAGAAAACTCACTTCCAATCTATTTTCTCCTTGAATAAAGTACGAAAAAAAAAAATCAATTCTGCTGATACAGGAAAGCCAGATTCATCACGTGCTCCAAACAATCTGAATGTCACGACAGCGATGCAAAGGCGGGCCAATCAATTAGACCGGTAAGTCTGCCATAGCCAGCAGCTTTCCTCCTCCTCCTCCTCCATCTAACCTGACTTTGCTTGCGGATGAGCACAAAGCAGTGGGGCCACAACCCTTCCCAAATCACAAGTATTTGTCAAGTATTGTTATTATTATGCGACAAAGGTTGCCTGAAACACGATGGGATATTATCAGATTTCTTATTTTATTCGTTTATTTAATTAGTAATTTAATTTAATTCATGTGATAGTGTCAAGAGTGATGGGGGGCGCGTTGTAAGTCACTGAATT